TTTTAGATATAAAACTACGGATAAGCATTAGGTAGGTAAGACGATTATCACCTAATTAAATTACTCTAAAAAAAGAAATTTTGAGTAAACAACTATCCTCTTTTTGCTTTTTGAAATCTTGATGAGTCGAGTTATTTTTCCAACACTCGAAAGTCTTTTTGGTCTTAAGTTAACTTAATTAATTAGTGCCAAGCGTTCTGGATTGTGAATCAGGCACGCAGTAGGTAGGGTTGGTTAATTTTATTTCTTCTTTTCACAAATCTTTTGCCCCACCATAATATTATAGCTTTTAAAGTTCTTGTGCTACTGTTGTGCAACGTGAAGACTAGAAAATCACATCTTTGCCCCAAAATTTTAAAGGTCTTGTGCTGCTATTATGCAACGTGGAGATGGGGATCTTGGGAAATAGCTGTCAAATCTTGGAGCAACCTTAATTTTTGGCCATCGAAAAATCTGTTCATTAAAATAAACTCAAAAGGGGAGAGTTACACAATATGTCTGAAGCAATTTTTTTTTGTTCGTGAAAAATGGTTTTTCAAATACCAATAAATGACATACTCCTTTTATTTCAAAATATGAAGTTTTAAAATATTTTAATATAATTTTAAATAATACTTTTTTATAATATATAAATAATAATTAAAATTTTTTTAATAACTCTTATTAAGTAATCTTATTTGATTAAAAATTCAATTATCATTAATATACTATTAAAAAATATTACTTAAAAATACATATAAAAAAATTAAACATTTTATATGTTAAAATAATAAGTGGATATATTTTCTTAAATATATACATGAGAAAGAACATTCTTTCTTATTAGGAAGGTATTTTTTTAAAATCTATTTTTTATATATTTTCCCTTTAATTACTTAAAATGTAAGTAAGAACATCATTTTTACTTTTAAATACTAATTAATTACAAAAAAAGTATACAAGAGAAAAAAAAAGATGGATAAGATATGAGAAATTAAAGTATACATCATGAATATTACATTAATTAAACTACATGGTTTAAGTATAATAAAATGAATGCAATAGAAGACATGAATCAAAGAAATTAACAACAAAAATAAACAACAGTACTCTCATAAACAACGTGATTGTAGGAAAATCATTTGAGCGATTTATTTTTGTTTTTTTTATTATTATTAAACCCTCTATATCTGTCATAGAATTTTGTTAATTTAGAATTAAGTTAAATTAGATTCATAAAAAAAGAATTTTTTTAATATTTATTTTTTTATTTACAAGAATTAATCTTAATAT